CACACACAGACACAGACACACATAGAGATGTCCTTCAGTCCTTTTGTTTCCAGCAGTAGGGAAGGAAAACGAGCCAACACTTATCAGCCACAGATAATGTAACTCAGCACGGTGCTGACAGCTGACAACAAGCAGCTGCAGGCCTCTTACACAACCTCAATACTGTCTGTCTGTCGCCTGTTTATTTCTCAGCCTATCATTTTAGAAAGTATTTGCATACAAACATCCCAGTTGTGGAAAGCTTTCGTTGTCCTTGGTCACAGTGCAATCTCCAAATGTATCCATTATTTATCTAATGCTTTCAAAAGGCACATTGTTTGGAAATTAAATTCCAGCTCTCGTCCTGGTCCCACTGAGGCCTTTTATGTAGCGATGTCTTACTGGTTCTAGGCAACACATAATTTCCAGTCAAAGTAATAACAGACATAACAGCACAGCAGTGCTGTGTACAGTAGACTAAAACGTATCTGTCTCATTCATGCTCGAGTTTATTTTTGTGTTGCACCAGGTGCTTCTGGGACGTGGTGCTGGCCTTCCCTCTGGAGCTGCAGAAGAAGCTCCTCCACTTCGCCACAGGAAGTGACCGCGTTCCTGTCGGAGGAATGGCCGACCTCAACTTCAAAATCTCTAAGATCGATGTTCCAACTGACTGGTAGGTCCAAAAACGGATCAGACTGAGACCAGAACTCGGTCATTGAAAACTTGTCGACACAGTGATCCTGAGAGACACTGAACATCTGCACTTGCTGCAAATTCTCCCAGAACCAAACATAGACCTTTCTATACTGAACCAACATAATGAGAGAGAGAAGCTTGGCCTTTTAATATCTGACCCGCACCACCACAACAACCTTCACTGACTCAACTAACTCTGTCTCCTCACTTTCTGATTTGACTATCTGGAGTGTTTAAACTGAAATGTAGATACTGCTGGTGAAGTATTAACAGTGTAATGCTCCCTCTCTTGTGTTCTGGGTGTGAACTGAGCTGCAGGAGATAAGACACACTGCTGAACTTTAAACTTATAGAAACCTTGAATCTAGATCAGAGAATGGACTAGCTGCCCCACTGCTGATCTTTTACACACAGACACACACTGTTGGTCAGATAGTTTCAGTGATTTGTATGTGCGAGATCAGTTAAGGATTTACCGGTTTCTCCACATTTTAAGTAAACTGGCTGTAAGAAATGTACAAGAATGTTTGACTTAATATGCAAAGGTGTTATTTTGAACATGTTTTCAGGATCAGATGTAACTTTATTGGTGAATAAGTACATGGAATTTGACTGTTTATTTAAAGGACCAGTGTGTAGGGTTTATTTGCATCTGGCGGTGTAGTTGCAGATTCCAACACACTTACTTCATCCTCCCTTTCCAAGTGTGAGGGAGAAACTGTGGTGGCCACAAAACACGCAAAAAGCATGAAAGGCCCTTTGTAGAGCCAGTTTTTGGGTTATTCCTTCAGGGCTACTGTTCAACAGTGCAGCCTCAACAGAAGGCGACCCGTGCCATCTGTAGATAAAAACGGCTCATTCTAAGGAAACAAAAACATAATGATTTTTATTTTCAGGTGATTATACACTAATGAAAACATACTTATGAATATTATATTCCATTTTCTAACAATAGATCCTCCTCAGTG